GAAGGTAGGGTTGATGATATTTGAAATATGTTAATATTTATTTGTAATATTAGAGTAATAGTTGCAACATTGTGAGTAAAAGAAGGAAATTATAGATAGGTTTGAGTTTAAAGTGGCAGAAAATAATCCAACCTTGTGTTTTACTTTTATAAATGTCGTGTGTCACCTTTCAGAATAAAGAGTGGTTTGCTGGAGACTGCAACAGAAAACTCGCTGAGGATCTTCTGAAGAAAGTCCGAATGGTAAACTTAAAGGACCTTGTGTAATTCACTGTGGATCAAATGATTATTTGTTTTAGTTTAACCACATCATGTCTTCATTTTTAAAGCAACAAACTTGAGGTTGTTGCAAATGCAATAAGAGAAAGTGTTTTTTTTTTTTAAACTGACTAATACATCTGAAGTAAAACCAAAAGCCAACAAAGACTTTGTGGCATTACTTTGCACTCCCTTTTTAACACTTCTCTTTTAATCCAACAAAACGCTTTTCTTTATTCTTCAGATTTTTATTCAGCAGAGTTTCCGTTTTTCTTCTTATTTCTCTGGATGTTAGGACGGCGCCTTCCTCATCAGGAACAGCTCAAACCAAAGCACGAACCAGCCGTTCACCCTCGCCGTGCTCTACCAGCTGAAGGTCTACAACATCCCCATCCGCTTCACTGAAGAAACGCAGAGCTACGCCCTCGGAAAAGAGGGCAAGATGAACGAAAAGGCAAGGGCCGAAAAAGTGCTGTTTGGAGAATAGTCTTTATTTTTCTCTTTTAACTAATCTTCCTCTTTTTGTTATCCGTCTCAGGTTTTCACCAGCCTTGACGAGATGGTTTCTTACCACAAGAAAAACCAAATCCTTCTGATTGACAGCAGGAGCCACGCCAAGCACACAGCAAACTTAACACAAGCTGTGCGGCTTTGAAACAGTAGCCACGGGCTAACTTTTAAAAAACCTGACAGTGCGTCCGTCTCAGGAGTGCACACCTGCGTGAAACCTGTCACAGTGACACCAGTACAGATATGTTCAAGGTGCTCCTCAACACATGAGCTGCAGCTCAGAGATCATCGAAGTGATTGCTCTCGTTTGCATCACGTCAGCATTTTAACGAGAATCACACAAATTGATATTTGTCTGGTAAATTTACAGTCGTTGTAACGGTCATTTAACCAGTTCGGTTGAAGAAATGGCTGCTTTTAATCTGTCAATTCACTCCGACGCCTTCACGTGAAAACAGTAAACGTCGACAACTCGTCACCTCATATCGTCTTTGTCTGCAGCCAAAATCATCGTTTTGTTCTTCCAGCTGGTTTCCCATAACTTAATCAACTGCGGAGAAAGGTCTAATTTCAGTCTGAAGGTAATCATTGTAAACTGTAAAATAAAACATAAAAAACGTTATCCTGACATTTATTGGTGCCATTAAAAACAGTTCAATAGTTTTCCAAATATGTTGAAAGGCAATTCTGAAATGCAGGTACACATTGGATGTAAACAAAACACTCAGCTGACTCCAACAAAAACCACAAGAGTCATGGGATTGACCTACACTCTTTTCCAAGTTTTTTTTTTCAGTTTAAATTGTTTTTAAAACCTGCTTTAATCCTACTTTACTCAGCAAATGTGAGTTTAAATCTGTATCAACACATAAGAATTGATGGACCTCTCAGTCTCAAATGGCTCTTCCACAAACATCACCATTGTTGACCTGCTTTAAGTTACTTCAGCTGTTTCTGTAAATAATCGCCAGATGACAGATCGATGACCGTCAATATGAGAAAAACGTGTGGATTAATATTTTTCTTTTATTAATTTATTTTTGAACCAGTCTTCACAACAGCTTTTATGTTCACGACTTCTCTTCTCATTCGTTTACTTTCTTGTTCTTGATTTTGAGTTTTTCATGTTAGCATGATATTTTAGATATTTGCACAAATTATTCCAATTTTAATTTTTGTTTTAGTCTTCAAGTAGTGGCATTGGAAGGAAGACAAACTGAGCAGAATGTCTTTTAATTGTAAAAGCTGCAGATTCCCGATTAAGAGCAATGATAATCTGTAAATATGTTACATGATTGATGCCTGATGACGTCACCCTTCACTGTTGTAAAATATCTCCTCGGGAAGTTTCCTCCTGCAACCACCTGGCAGAACAACAAATGTGCAATAAATGAGCTTAAGGTGTGTACAAAATATAACTTATTAACATTACATTTAAAATTCTTACTTTTTCTTATCATTTCATCTGAATTTATGAGCTCTGCATGAATAAACTTAAACTTTGAAGGTGCCGCAGTGTGGTAGAAATGTGTTTTTAAAACTGCTTTTAATGTATTTTACTGACGATCTTGTCTACTGTGCAAACGTGTGTGACTGCACATCCATCATTTGCATTAGAGATGCAAAGAGTCCTAAATTAGTTCCTGGAGCCAGGTTTTAGTAGCAGGTGGCTGTGAGGCGTCTGCACAGTTTAAATTAGAACTAAAGACCAACTGAGCAAGAACCACTCAAAGTCCCACAAACTGCAACTTTCATTCCTTGCAAAGGAGTTCCCACAAGTTCATTTCTGTGTGGAGGTGGAAACCTACGTTTGCATGTAGGATGCTGCTTAACTCTTAATTCTCTCTCATTTCTTTATATTTTGGCTAGAAAATGTATAAATATCAGTTTATTAAGAGATCCTTTCTGCTCACAGCCATCAGCATCTATAACAACTCTTTAATGAAACCAGGCTGATCAGTTACAACATTTAATTTCCCTCTGGGATTAATAAAGTATTTTTGAATTGAATTAAATTTAATTATCACTTGACTGAAACATGCATAAACCATCCATTCATCCATTCATCCATCCATCCATTATCTTTACCCGCTTCTTCCTTTTTGGGTTGCTGGGGTCACTGGTGCCCACCTCCAGCTATCACTGTGCGAGAGACGGGGGGCAACCTGGACTGGTTGCAAGTCCATCACAGGGCACATTCAGAAACATGAGTCAAACTAGTGTAAATAAAAGGCAAAAACAGTTCAATGAAATTTTGAAAGTCAATATTTGGTATCAAATGCTAATCTAAACACAGCCTCAACTTTTACAGAAAGCCTGACATTTAAATTTCATACAGATTTACAAACATCAGCGTTTGTGTCTGGAGAGGCAAATCAATGAGTGAAACAGTTACACTCCTTGTTTTTTATTTTGTTAGATTTGCTTCAGCTTGAAGGTTCAAGGTTCAAGGTGACTTTATTGTCATTCACATCGCATGTGGTACATGAGGTGGAACGGAATTGTGCACTCAAGGTCCCAGTTACACCCAAAAGTAGCAAAAATATAAAATAAAATAAACTGTATACAAGGATCTAAGACATATGCTAAACAATAATAATATGGTGTATTAAATAGCATCCTGAACATGAGTCTGTAGTGAGCAGATGGGTATGAATACAGCAGCGTAAGGTAAGAAATCAGCAGCATGGATAATCAGCAGCACAGATAAAGTGACAGATCCCCAATTAAAGTGGCATTACAGTGATTTTTCTGGTTAGGGATTCATGAGTTTAACAGCTTCAGGGTAGAAGCTGTTCCTCAGTCTAGTGGTTCTGCACTTAATGCTCCTCAACCTCCTGCCTGAGTGGAGCAGGGCAAAAAGTGTGTGTGCTGGGTGAGCGGGGTCCTTAATGATGCAGGCGGCCCTCTTCCTGCATCTTAAGGTGTAGATGTCTGTGATGGTGGGGAGGCTGACTCCAGTAGCCTTCTGTGCAATGATGAAGGCAATTATAACTAAATTTAATCAATGTTTAAGATGGTCTCCAGATATAATGGATCAATTATCATCCAGCTTTTTAAGGACCCCTTACACCGTCGTGCCAACAAGTCATGTTTGCGGCAAAAAGTACATTGACACAGTTTTAAATTAATGTATTAATGTAAGTTTTCTGCTGTGTGTAAAACTGCAACATAATGATTATGACGGATGATTACAATGGTTTTAGAGATAGGGTGAGAGGTTCATGTATCTGGGAGAGACTCGGAGTAGAGCCGCTGCTCCTCCACATCTGGAGGGGACAGTTGAGGTGGTTCAGACATCTGGTAAGGATGTCCCCTGGATACCTGGGCACGTCTAACTAGGAGGAGACCCCCAGGGAAGACCCAGGACATGCTGGAGAGACTATGTCTCTGGACTGGCCTAGGAACGCCTTGGAGTCTCCCAGAAGAGGTGGCTGTGGAAAGATATCTGGAACTCCCACTCAAACTGCTGCCCCCACAACCCAGAAACAAGCAGAAGATAATGGATGGATAAAGGATTGTAAGATCAATCATTCAGGTAGATAACAACAAAAAAAGATGTATAGATGTTATTGATTTCCACATAGCTACTCCTGCTTCAACCTTCAAAATTGCAGCTAAATTTGCATCTGTGCAAATTTAATTTTCAAATCTTCTCAAAAGCTGTTTTTAGGGATCTCATTTCAATATTTGCAACATAATGTTCCACTAGAGTTCTCTCTCAATACACCATTTAGCATTAGGAAGGAAAGTTTTGCTTTTGGTGTCTCCATTCTGCCATTATTTATGAATCCTTCTTGTCCAAATGATGATGGAGTCAAATCAAAGTGAAGTAAATGAGCTTCAGCTTTGTGGGACAGCATTTCAGCAGGACTCTTTTGAAGAAAGAGGAGTATAAACACAAAAGCTGCAGAGCTGCTGTAAGGATTTGCTTGAAGTTGGTGAAATGAGGCAAGTAGGAGGGGGAAGGGGCTTCGGCGGAGGGATACACGCTGTACGTCAAACGAAATCAATTGTCAGCTTCGTGGAATTGAAATTAAAAACACGGGACTCTTATGATAAACTAAGACTTATAATATATGAGTGTGGTTTTTGTTTTAGGACGGTCACATTTCATCTAAAGATCACGAGAGGAGCTGATGAGTCATATTAGTGGTAATCGTAGGGGACTAGTTTTCTCAGCGGAGGTGCGGAGTTTTTAAACTCAGTCCGGGTGTAGGGGGGCTTACTGAATGGGAGCAGTCGCTGGTTTGCTGTGATAACAACGAAAGCCTCTCGGGCTGCTCACTACAGCCCATCATTTTGGCTTCTGGAGCATTTGGGAGCTCAAAAAAAAGAGAAAGAAAACCACCTCTTTCCTCTCCTTCTCCCCCATCCCTTCTCCTCTTTCTTCCACGGCTTCCTCTGACTGAGAAACCATCCAGAAATGGCTCAGATATTACCGATACGATTCCAGGAGCATCTCCAGGTAATAATTGCACACAGCGCCATGGGGAAAAGCCTTTGAAGAGGAATAAAAGCTCGTTTTTTAAATGATATATTTTCGGTGCTGCGGCTCCGCGCACAAACAGCACATGTCGCATTTAAAAGGAATCTGAAATAGGGCTGCAGGGAGGTGCTCAATATAGCTACAGGCCTAGTTTTCTCCTGCTGGGCAGATGATGACTTGTAAAAATTGAACAGACTGGTTGTGCAGCTCCACTGCGGGCCGGTGTGTGGGAAACCTGCAGGTTCTTGAAGCCTCCGCCGTCATTTTCAGCCAAACGGCGGCGTTTCGACGCCTTCCTCTCGGTGCCCGTTAACCGAGCTCAGCTGTTCGCGGTTACATCGTCACGGAGACCCGAATGGCACTTGCTCCCCAGCTTTGTTGTGTTGTCATACCCTGCAGCGACAATTTCCCCACTCTTATGGTCTTAAAACGTGCCATTGTGCAGCTTCTGCGTTAAATTTGCTCGTGTCCAACTTGTTTATAAAAAAAAAAGAGGGGCCAATGCGTGTGGTTACAGTAGTATTTGCTCTAACAGCAGCTCATTTAGAGGCAAACAAACAAAACAAGTCACAAAAACAAAAGGTTATCCTGAACTGAGAGTGTTTGGTGGGCAAAGCTAACCAAAAAGTTACTTTCGCTAACCCATATTCCGCTAACTAAAAATTTAGCTTCGCTAACGCTAAACCGCTAACTGCTAATTTCAATTCAGTTTATTTATATGGCGCCAATCACAAAAGAAGTCATCTCAGGGCACTGAACAGAAACATTCATACAATAAAAACAATAATTTAACACTATTTGAGGAGCAAACCGCGTTGAATTTAACTCAATCACATCTCATCTTGAGCAAGCATGAAGGCGACGGTGGAAAGGAAAAACTCCCTCATGAGGAAGAAACCTTTAGCAGAACCAGGCTCAGGACAAGCAGCCATCTGCTTTGGCCGGCTGGGTTTGGTAGGAACAGATACACAATGGCAGGTCAAGAATCACATGTTAAGATAGAAATAGTATCAAATGAACTATTCAGTTTTAACAATTTAAGGAAATTAGGTCAATTTGTCCTCTAGTAGTCTAAGCTTAAGATAGCATGACAAGCCAACCCTCCTTCTTCTTCTTCTTTCGGCTTTTCCCTCTTCAGGGGTTGCCACAGTGAGTCATCCTTCTCCATCTCACTCTGTCCTCTGCATCCTCTGTCCTCACTCCAACTACCTTCATGTCCTCTCTAACTGCATCCATATATCTCCTCTTTGTCTTTTTCCTGGCAGCTGCATTTCTAACATCCTTCTACCAGTATACCCACTGTCCCTTCTCTTGACATGTCCAAACCATCTCAGTCTGGCCTCCCTAACTTTATCTCCCAGTTGTTCAACCTGTGCTGTACCTCTGATGATCTCATTCCTAATCTTATCCAGCCTTGTCACTCCTAAAGAGAACCTCAACATCTTCATTTCTGCCACTTCCAGTTCTTTCTCCTGTCTTTTTGTCAATGCCACCATCTCCAGACCATACAATATAGCTGGTCTCACCATTGTCTTGATGACAAGCCAACCCTAATTATAGGATTTATCACAAAAAGAAGTCTTAAAACTGGACAGTGTGTCAGCCTTACGGACAGAAACTGGAAGTTGGTTCTACAAGAGAGGAGCATGAAAACTGAAAAATCTTCCTCCCGTTCTGCTTTTGTAAACTCTAGGGACCACGAGTAAGCCTGCAGTCTCTTCATTTGAAGCTGCTTTAACCATTCACGTCTTGTGATGTATACACATAGTAAGCCAATGGCATGCCTTCAGCTAGTTGCGGTTGTGTTGACCAATCACGTCTTGTCACTTGGAACATATAGTAAGCTAATAGCATGTCTTCAGCTAGCTGCTACTGCATTGACCAATCATGTCTTGTCACGTGTAAACAGTAAGCCAATAATGTGCCTTCAGCTTGACCCTGCTGCATCAACCACTCGCGTCTTGTCATGTGTCCACGTAGTAAGCCAATAGCGTGCCTAAGAAGCCTCTTCGAGACACGGCTCCAGCAGATGGGAACAAGCTTGTGATTTATCTTTTTTTTTTATCAGACTTCAAGTTGGCGAAACCTAATTTGGCATAAACCAATTCCGCTAATGGTTTGCAACGTTTGTGAAAACATTAATCCGCTAACACAAAGTTTGTTTTCTCAGTCATCCAGGTATATAACAACAAAAAAGGTTGAATCATGTCATCTGGACTTCGTTTTTTTGTTAAAAAGAAATTTTTCGCCCCTCATCCAAGAGGCTTCGTCAGTCTGAGGCCTAGCCATCTGGTATTACCCAGAAGCCACCCTGACTCTTGTGTTTCAAGCCTGCCTCAGATACCCCTGAAGTCAATTTGTTCCACTAATGGAAATCCACCATTAGTGAAATTATTTTATAAATTAAACTACCATACTCTTGTCCTCATGCCGACACCTCAGTCTCGAGCATGAAAACGGTTGCATCCAAAATGGTGAATACACAAAGGTTTGTTTGGACCGAGGATCATGTTGGTTTGCTTCCTCACATTGAATAGGATGAGTACAGTAGTAGCACATGGTTTCTATGAGTGCTGCTAAATGCTAAAGAAAAAAAAGAGGGCGAGTGAGACGATGGTCATGAAAACTGCTGCATTTCCTTTACGTCTGAGTTGGAATTCTGATCTGAGAATGATGACGGGCCCTACTTTTCCATGTTTCAGGCGCAGCTCCGAGAACCAGTAGGATTTCCTAATTGTTACGATCAGTTCCCAGGCTTGCGTCTTAATATCAGCAACACAACCACAGGAATGGCAAGCCATTTCTCTGCTTTCTGTGTATTCAAACAACTGCTAATGCAACATCGTAGTTGGAAAGTACCGTTTTTGACTGGATTACTGAGATGCAAACTGAAGGTAGAATTTTTTTTTTTAAATCACTGACACTTTCACAGCGTTTCATGTGAGTCAGCCATGTTGGATTTTTAGAGTTTGTGGGCCAGTTAGGAATTTCAGACTTCCCAAGTTGGAGTTGCGACTTTGGTTTGCGTTCCAGTTCATTTTTCAATCTCAGAACTTGGAAATTTCAACTTTCAAGTACAAATGGAGTGCAGCATAAATACTGAATCAAGCAGAGCTATGGCACCATGAACACAAACCTCAGTATTCAAACATGCACGTACAGACGAGCAAGTTTACCATTTCAACCCGACCTATTTGTTTTAATCTGTAAATCTGAGTGTAAATACGTATCGACAAGTCTAAATTGTTGGACGTCTCAAGCCTTTACATCTCTTCCATGAACGTCGCCATCCTGTTTTAAGTCACTTCCGCTGTTTTCTTAGAAACACAAACACGTGGTAGTTGGCAGCCATTCACAAGTTTTCTTACAATAATTTCTTTAAGGACACTTTGACCACTGATGTTGAAAAACGGCTAATCTGGTTTCTTTATGATTCTTCTGACCAGTTTTTGTGACCTTGCAACGAGTACCTTTAACTGTTCTTTAGATGAGATCTATGTTGATCCTGATGATCTTCCTGCCTCACATGGAACATTACTTTAGTCTAAGCTCCTTATTTTTGTTTCATGTAGCAAATGTTTAGCTTCACTGTAATGGGCATTCGTATTTAAAAGTGCTACAGACCCTTTAGTCTTCCGTCTGAAGTGTCTCGGTAGAAGAAAAAAGCGCCACAAAATGCCCCTTTATAAATTCTGATAATTAAAAGAAACAAACAGCCTCTTGTATTCGTCGTCTGCGAGGGAACCGTTTCCACCACGGTCCCCCTTTGACCCCGTTTCTTCGGACTTTAAATGGCAGCTCCAGTGCTTGGTGACTCCTAGCCAAAAGAGAAACTTTCTGTGATGCACCCTTCATTCTCCTCCTCCTCCTCCACTGGTCTGTAGCCTGTTGTTATGGTAACGGGCAGGCAGTGAAATGGCCTTTCACTAAACGGGGCAAAAAAGATGTCCCCACCCCTCTCTATTTACTCCCTTCCTGTGACATGTAGCCCCACTTTCTCAACCAAAGGTCCTTCATCCGTTTGGAGAAATTACACCGGCCGCCAGGGAGCTGCCGAGCCCACCGATGGAGCACAGCCAAGCATCATCGTCTGGGTCGTTAGTTCAAATTTTTCTCAGGAGCACATACCTTTCTCTTAAGCATACCTCGCCTTGAGACGGAGATCGTCAGCCATCCGCTTTATGTTTCACTTCTACCGTGAAATCACAACTTTATCCAGTCGTATCCCCCTGTGAGTTTAGGTGGCTCCAGCAGAGTGAAAAATGCTTGGAATTTGAAAACCCGAGACTTTGGGCCTCAAGTTGTTTAGTTTTTTCTTCCTTGGCTTGGCATTTACAGCACCGTGCCTGCTGCCTCTGCCTAGGTTGAGGAATGTTGCTTAGATGCATCTTCTTGATGAGGGACCAACCTTTTGAACTGATCTTAGTTATTCAAACCCTAAAACAGTTCTTGAGAAAAATGCCTGGATTTCAGCTGTAGTCTGTTGCTCACTCCACATACAACTGCAATAAAATAAGCAAACACAAGCCTGTTTATTTAGGTAAGATTTGCAAGTCTAAAATAGACTTCAGTGACCAGATGAACAGTACTGAATATTAAAAGTGGTAAAGTGAGAGTCATTTGGCTCTGCTGTCTGTGTGCCGCAGCCTACGTACTGTAGCAGCTTGAGCAAGTGCAAAAACGTCCTGCAGCTCTGAAGCTACTGAACTCTGTCCTGTTGGGTTGCAGTTTGTGTTTAACCTGCAGCTCCGTGTCCGTTTCTGCCGCGCTCTAATGAAATGATGCCACCATGATGTTTGATAATCAGCTGAGAAACGCTGGCCTTTTTTAGTCCTAGAAAATTGCATCAGGAGGAAACGGGTGGAAAGAACAGGCCAACAGAATGCATCGGTACTTGCAGAGGTGATGAGTCTTTGCGTACAGCTGCTGAAACTCTTGCTTTTAAAGTGCAGGCTCAAACCCCAATTACCGTACTCCTCCTGATGCTACCAATGTCCAGAGTTTAATTTGTTTGTGCCTTTTTTGTTAAAGAAACTCAAAGGTCACTATAGTAACTTACAACTGACAAAGGTAATAATAAAATAGACAAAACGTTAACTAATGAAAATCTGGGTTCGATAGGATTATTTTATAAGTTAAACTACCATACTCTTGTCCTCATTTAATTGCACAACCTTTTGAGGCAATCTAGCAATTTCTGTAGCTCAAGACTTTTGCACCTGCCCACAAACTGCTCCAGTTGTCTCGGGTTTGAAAGGTTTCTTCTCCAGACTGTATGATTCTGCTCCTTCCACAGATATTCAGTGGGATTTAAACGAGGGCTCAGAAGGTCAGTTCAGAGTAGTCCAATGATTTGTTTTGCAACATTCTTGGATGTTTTATAGCTCTTATTTGTCCTTTTCTTGTTGGAAGAGACTGAGATCAAGCTTTCCAACACTGGGCAGCACATTTTACTCCAGAATGCCTTGATAGTCTTGGGATTTCACTGTATTCGATACGCTCTGTGCCAGATGCAGCAAGGCAGCCTCAGAACATAAAGCTTCCTCCACGTTTCACTGTAAGTGCCGTCTCCTTGTATGCTTCATGTGTGGGTCTGTGAACAGAGATGTCTGTTGGATTTTATTATTATTTTTTTTAATTATTAATAGTTTTGTCAGTTTCAAGTTATTTTAGTGACTATTGTGTTTTTTTTTCTTTCTTTAACACAAGGCCACCAATAGTCAGTCTGTAAATCCAGCTTTTCAAACATCTCATCCTCAAAAATGGGAACAGGCAGCACTTCTGACTCTTTCTGCTGCAATCTTGTCTCGAGCTGCTGATGCAACACATCCATCCAGTCAATGACTCACCAAATCCTGTCCATGCTGGATCATCGGTGAAGCTCCACTTTCTGTATCATTATGATGATTCTATTTTTGTGACGTTAATCTCGGCTCCTAAGGGAAGATGACTTGCAGGCATCTGGGTGGTATTGATCCACGTAGTTCATGGGTTTGTGGAGACGGTGGGTTGGAGCTACAGTGTGATTTTTGTCTGGATTCTTCTGCTAAAAGGTCTGGTGAGTCAGTCGCCCCTCCCTGAACTGCAACATGCCAAAGGGCCTGTGTTACTGGAAGTTCTCTGAACAGACCCTGATGGCTCTCATTCTCTTCTCATAAGAGAGATATAAATCACTCTGACTTTTTTACATGCGTTTTCTTTGCTCAACCCGACTCCTTTTGTTTGTTTTTAGCACAACACTGGACTGTGTCTTCACTCCCATCCTTATCCCCCACCCAACATCTTCATTACACCCTCGCTTGCCTTTCCACCCATAGATGATGTTGGGAGATGCAGCATATGGCTCCAATCTCCCGCACCAGGCTTTTTTAAAACCCCTTTATCATGTGTACCCTTGTAGCATCCAGAAAACTAGCTAGACATAAATGAGTTATTTGAGTTTAAATAAAACAACAGAAAGCTCAGTATAAAGATCAATCTCGAGTAAATATTATACCCACCTTACGTTGTCGGAGTTCAAGGCAAATCTTGCCCTTTTTTTCCTTTTTTGACATTTGATGAGTCTGAATCAGATGTTTTGACACTCACATTTTATTTATACTTTGATAAAAGTGCCAGCTGATGCTTTGCAGGGACTATTTTTTTTACTTTAATCTTAATTTAGTGAAGAATACATTTGTATGAATGCTTTACTAGAAACAAGCAAGTTTGAAGTCTTCCTGCAGGTCAGCAGAAAAGAGCATGAAGCAGCAACTCTTTCCTGCATGCGCGCTCTCTCATTAGCAGTAAAAGCTTTGAGGAACAAAAAATACTATCTGCTCAATGTCTTGTTGAGCAATCTACGGAGAGCGGTTTGTAAAACCTCCAAGATGTCACAAGGCAATTTTATGGAAGGGTACTTTTCTGCACATGTCAAACTTTTTTTTTAAAATGCAGTGTACACGTACAACTTTAATTATCAAACTTCATTGCAACTGCATTAAAACAATCCATTATGCTTCAGGTAAAAGATGCTAGATGAATAAATATTTGTGTGAAAATGCAAAAAGAAGCTATAAAGCTGGGAAAATCTTACAAAAACTGATCCATTTATCGGTTTTCAGATAAGAGTAGGAAATTGATTCATTTTAATTACGAAAATGGATTTATTATCTGAAGTTACTAGATATGATTGAAAATAGTTTCCAGTTGCACTTCTTCTCTCTGTATGTCCCCATTTAAATAAATGTGAATTAATTTGAATAATTAGCAACTATTTTTAATTTGTTACCCACTGCTGAACCCCTGATTTTGCTCTTCCCGTTTTGCTGAAATAATGATTTATTTATTTTTTTGTCCTGCTTCTCAGCCAAATGAAGAATAGTTTGGTCTTTGTTATGAATGCAGAGGATTCCTTTCAGCTTGCTTCAGATGACATAATGCAGTTAACAAAGATTTTTTTTTGGCCTGTTCCCTCATTTCGGTTAGTTGGACAACATGCTTGGTCACTTATCAGCAGCTGTTAACCAAGCTGAAGCGTTTATTTTTAAGATTTTGCATTAGCGTAGAATTTTCTTCATAATTCAAATTTGATGAACGTTATAATGATTCCCAAAGATCTTTCAGTAAATTTTAATAAAGTAAGCTATGAAAGATAATCTAAATCCCCCTGAGTAAACATCTTGTCGTTGAGAATACACATTTCCTGGCTCTGTGTGAATCTCGTCTGGAAAACACTTTTAGGAATATCCCAGGAAAACCAAAGCAAATCTGCTGCTATTTTAATCAAAACCATTTTGATCTACCTCTTGCTGCAAGATAAAGGTGAGCTGCTGCCATTTTATTTTCCCAGTGACATTTTCATAGTTTGATTTCATAGACCTTTAATAGTTTAACATATTTAAATGTGAGCATCAGTCACTCTGTTGGTCGACTTGTAGAGAATTCTTCTCAACATAAGCTGTCGGATCATAAAATCCAGATGTTTGCTGGATTCAATTAAAGCATCACCCTGGTTTGCCTTTTTTGTAATAAAGAAAACATTTTCAGCTCTAATATAACTATTGTATAAATGAGTCGATGCTAATGCCTTTAGGAACTGTCGATGCTTGCTGTTGTCTTATAAAACCCTTAAATTAAAACCCTTAAAAAGTTGAGTTAAAACCCTATAAAACCCTTAACCCTTAAAGTTAGTGTAGGTCATCCCTGATCTGTTTACTGCGGCCACTATTTTAAAGCCTTAAAGCAACAGAGAGATATTAACTTACTAAAACGTTACATGGATAGTCAAGAAGTTTGCTTGTGTGTATCTAAAAATTACTCCTTCAGCAGCCTTCTGTATATATTTTCTTTAACTTACCCCAAGCGTTTGCATGGACTTGAAAATGCTACTACGTATTTGGTTCTTTTGTTTGCTCAGAAACACACCATCCTCAAATATCCTGAAGTTCCTCCCCTCTGTCCTTGGTGCATTGTTTTTCATGGTCTTAACGGGTTTTATTGTCTGCACCAGGTGTTGAAGACAGAGCATAGCTTTTGTTGCATTCAAGGAACATTACCACTCCTGATGTTCATCTGCTTGGTTTAGGTCTTTACACATAATCCAAATGTCATCAAGATCTTTGTTTAAAACTTTGCCATAAAGTACTGAAGTCAGCTTTGTCTGTTAGCAAAATCTCACATGAACCACTGGATGGGTTTTAACAAAACTTTTAGGTTATCACTGGATGCACATCAACTGCTACCAGTCCAGTTCAAGATGGCCACCACAGCTTAATGACTTTACTGTAGTTACATATAATGGTCCAAATGTAAAATTATGGTCTGAAAGGTGATCAGTGATATTTATTTCTTCAAGGAATACTAGTTTTTTCAATACAACATAACTTCTTACTAAATCTATTTACTGAGTTTCCATTTCCTGTTGTGGACTAACACGCCAGATTGAAACTCTTGGGCTTCTTGTGTAGATGCAGAGTAGCTGGATTTTGACTTCTGATCAATACTACTCAATTTACAAAGTAAAATCAGTGTGTTTATGTTTTCAGTCATTTATGTCATGGCAATAATAATAAAATGTTTGCTGCCACTGGTCACACATCTGGCTCAGACTCCCACTTAAACCTCTGCAGGGGGATCCGAGTGTAGCTGATGTACTGATTGTCATTGTTTTGATTTCCAGTTGCAGAACCTGGGTGTGAACCCAGCCAACATTGGCTTCAGCTATCTGACCATGGAGTCCGACAAGTACATCTGCATCAGAGAGAAGGTGGGCGAGCAGAACCAGGTGGTGATTGTGGACCTGTCGGACCCCAACAACCCAATAAGGAGACCGATCTCTGCTGACAGCGCCATTATGAACCCCACAAGCAAAGTTATTGCGTTAAAAGGTGAGATGGTGGCGCAGAGAAGACTTATCATATTTGTTGCAAAGATACACTGTTTATCTTTATTTGTAGTAGCTTTAGGCTAAAAGCTGAAGTTATTGTATTGTTCCAAGAATTAATCTGCATGGCATCAAAATTGTTTCTCTAGTTAAACGGAGTTATCCATTCATTGAACATTTTGAGAAAGTACCAGTGGTGCAGTGATTACAGTGCTGTAAATTTGTAGAGTGCTTTGCATTTTCTTTCCTTAATGCACTAAATTAGTTCATCTAATTAATGGCCTGCCTTTAAAGCGCAAATGCCAGCACTGACCAGGATGATTTGCCTATAATGCTTTTTTTCTCTCCTTTCCTCTTCTTCTGAGGATTAAAAATCCCTGTTTGACCCCTCCTTGTGGTCTATCTTCATTCTTACCTGATTGACACTTTGCTTTTTCCCTCTCTTGCTTTGTCATTTCTCAGATGGTGAGTTGCTTTCTGTCTGTCTGCCCGTCTTGGCACTCTGTTGTGATGATACAGTAGCCATGTCTCTCTCATAAAAGCCTATCCATATTCCTCACGAGTACGCAGAGCTATTTCGACCACTTATCCTGCATAGAAAAAACAGCCTTTAGGAACTTTATCTACCTCAGCCTCTGCTGTGACATGCTGCTATACATTATATACTTTTATGAGAACAACACGTGTTGGCATGACTTGATGTATGCTGGTGCTTTGTATTGCGTATACATCGTTAAATATTATACAGTAGAAAGAACTGTGGCACCATACGAGCCTATGTACCACTGTGTGTGTGTGTGTGTGTGTGTGTGTGTGTGTGTGTGTGTGTGTAGGTAGCTATATCAACATTGTTTACAAGGAAAGTATCATAAAGCCCATTTGTGCTGATGCCAGTTTGTACAATGACTACTATTCACCTAACTCATGCATTACCTCACCTGTTTGTTTTGTTGTGTGTTTATTGGTTAATTTGTTACTGGTACAATGTGGGACTAGCAGTTTATTTTAGGCCACAAAATATTGTTATGACTCAGCTATTGCAAGCCATGGTGACCTTTCTCAAAGCTGCCATCTGCTCCCAAGAGCCAGAGGTCAGTTAATTCCAGGTACAAGTGTCAGTCTGGTTCTTGTGGACTCAGTGGTGCTTTCCTTGCATATAAAACATGTTTTGTATGCAGGCAGATTTTTGTTTTGTTTGAGACATTTGCATAAAACGTCCACCATATCAGCGTTGAGTGCTAAGAATAAAATTAGGCAGCATTAAGAAGAAAAATCATCTCTTTTTTTTGTCTCACTCCCTTTCTTTACCTCCCCTCAGCTGCCAAGACGCTGCAGATCTTCAACATTGAGATGAAGAGTAAGATGAAGGCTCACGCGATGACAGAGGAGGTCATGTTCTGGAAGTGGATATCTGTAAACACCGTTGCTTTAGTGACCGATACAGCCGTCTACCACTGGAGCATGGAGGGGGATTCCCAACCGGCCAAAGTATTCGATCGGCACGCCAGTCTGGCAGGATGTCAAGTCATTAACTACCGAACTGACGAGCAACAGAAGTGGTTACTGCTGATTGGGATTTCTGCACAGGTATGAACACGCCTTTGACACCTTTTTCATCTCTGGTCTGCAGCCTTGTTGAACAAACAATTCACAGCAAGATAAAAGTTTTCCTCTCAAACTGCTCAATCTGGGCTTTAAAATTCACAGTTTGAACACTGAGAGGCACGCTTCTAACAATCACTTAAAATGTTGCTGATTAAATACGCAGGAGACTTGCCTGTTTTGGTGTTTCAGTGAGAAAGCAGAACCTGACATTATCAGAGTAAACGATTTTTTTGTGTGGTTGATGGTCATGGAAAGTTTATTGGATGACAGCAGTCGTGCGCTGCTTTAAATATAAATCATGAAACGGGTGGAACCAGGTGTGAGCGGTGACTAAAGCATGTGCTCAAAGTAATAATTCACTCTGCAAAAAGGAGAAAATAAAGGTCAAATGGTTTTCTCAGAAGTGGTGAATGACCCATTTACACAGAAATAAATAACTGTAACTAAAAGATATGAATACAGCCACCGGTGACTCCTTTCACTGAGTATTATTTTGAAGTTTTGTTATTTTGTTGTCAACATTTTGCAGAGAAGTAATTAGATTAGTGACCACACCTTCAATAATGTATTTAACAAGAATGCCACTAATGAGGTTTATAGATTTTAACACCCTTTAATGACCTTTTTCTGCTAAACATGCTACTCATAGATGCCATTATTGTTATTAGTTTGGAATCAAATATTTTGCCTTTCAAGCTCATTATGACGTCACATACACAATGTATTCTGTATAGACTTTGAATAAGTCAACAGTCATCATGTCATCGTTGCAACTTTTACCAGGGCTTAATTTGTAAACCGATCACTGCTGGAAAGCAAATAGCAGGTGGGCCAGGGGGTCTGTGGGTCCTCCCCCAGATAATTTTTAATAAAGTAGATGCCATTTCCTGCATTTTGGTGTATTTTAACAGGTTGTTAAACACCTACGTTTGTAAACACTTGATTCAATAACTATTTTGAAGAGCAACAACAACAGCAGCTCTCTCCTGTGTGAACGTGTGTTCAACTGTGTGGGTCTTGACTTCATAGAAGCGGAGCAGGGCAGCTCCGCTTCTATGAAGTCAAGATCCCCCCACCTCCACTTCACGGCTCCGAGCCCGACTCTTTTCCGCTGAATTCAGTCCTGTGCGTTGTTATTAAACTCCTCTCACATGTGAAACTTCCAGGCTCCTCCTCTGTCTGTTCATGGCCACGGCCTGTTGGCTCCTACCGGCGTACGACTGCCTGGTTATCTCGGCATTCACCCACACACCACTCCCTCGCTTCTGCTCCAATCTCTATTGCCACTCCCTTCAGGTGCTTCAATTCTCGGTTGTCCAGCTAAGGACAATCCATCCAACCATTTTTTAAAAATGAAAGTAAATTGGACTGTCTTTGACATTTTAATCGCTGTTATTTTGACAAATTAGTGCTGTTGTTTTGATACGTGATGCAATGTGAATAATACACATCAAACATTTCTCTTCTTGTATTTTTAATAATCAAAATTTTATTAATAATCCACTTTAAACTGTCAAACTGATTTGCAGTTTAGTTGTGCTGTTTACCGGTAATTATATTTTCGAGGTTTTTTTTTGGTTTTGTTTTGTTTTTATAAAAATGCACGATGACTGGACTTTTGAGCGGTGGAGATTTGAGGTACTGGATTCAAGCAAACGGTTTGCCGGAACGCACCCTGTCAAAATAAGAGTTCCCGGATCTTGTTCCGGCAGGATCCGGTTCAAATTAAGCCCTGACTTTTATTGTCTAGCAGTTTAGATGTTGATGAAATGTCTCCTCGTGCTGCTTTTTGTTGTATTTTGCGATTGCAACTCAACAAATGAAGTAAAGCAAGTCTTCAAGGTTTTCCTAGATAACAAATGAAGCAAAGGGAATTTTTTACTCCCTGCAGCTTAGTACAGAGTCTTTACTGATCCTGTTAATGGTCTGGTCTACCAAAGGTAATGGAAAAGACCTCAGGGGTGTTGCTTCTTGTTAGAGACTTTTAACAAAAATTTGCTACTCTTTCTAAAGCCCTGTTTCTATGCACTGTCAATTAAAAGGGAAGTTCTCCTTTCACATAAAATACACAGAGAAAAGTATAAGTAATGAAATCGTACAAAATGCCAATACTTGTACAGTATCGCTGATGGTTGTGCAAGCTTTTGTCAAGAGCTTTAGCCACAGGTTTTTTTTAATTTTTTTTATTGCAAACAGTGACTGTCAAAGAATCTCCAAAACTAGTCCCTTCTGTTTGTTTACCTAAGTATTCTTCTCAAACACTCAGACCTTGAAAACCATAAATGTCCTGTTCAAATGCTAAAACTCTGAGCTACGATTGCATCACAGACTTGTATTTGGCAGCCTCATTAGGGTGTCACTCTTGTTTTGTCCTGCAGCAAAACCGCGTAGTTGGAGCGATGCAGCTGTATTCAGTTGACAGGAAAGTGTCCCAGCCCATCGAGGGCCACGCTGCTGCTTTCGGGGAGTTCAAAGTGGAGGGAAACGCCAAATCTTCCACTCTGTTCTGCTTTGCCGTGCGCTCACAGGCTGGAGGAAAGGTGAAAGTCTAACAATGCTCACGGTTGCTTTGCCACGACGGTTTGTTTATGCGGTCTTTGTTTTTCTAGTTGCACATCATCGAAGTTGGACAGCCAGCTGCAGGAAACCAGCCGTTTGCAAAGAAAGCAGTGGATGTGTTCTTTCCTCCAGAGGCCCAGACAGACTTTCCTGTAGCTATGCAGGTTGTGAACAAGTTCTGAGACTCATTTGTTTTTGCTGCATCAACTCTTCTGAATACTTAAAATGCTCTTTTTGGACTCTCTGTAGATTGGCAACAAGCATGGCGTGATATATTTGATCACAAAGTACGGTTACATTCACCTGTACGACCTGGAGACTGGAATTTGTATATACATGAACCGAATCAGTGCAGAGACCATTTTCGTTACCGCCCCTCATGAGGCAACCTCGGGGATCATCGGCGTTAACAAGAAGGGACAGGTAAGAAGTTGTGAGGCAATGATCTTATTACCAGGTTTTTGTTGTACAATCAGCAGGAGGTGTAATTTTGATGTGAAAATCTCAAAACAATTATAAACTACAGGTGATGTTGTTGGATGCTGAATGCTTTGGTGTTTTTGTTATATTTTTACAATGTGGTTGCGTTTTCTGTCATTCTTAGGTCTTATCAGTGTGTGTTGAAGAGGAGAATATTGTCAACTATGCCACAAACGTCCTGCAGAACCCTGATCTAGCCCTGAGGATTGCTGTGCGGTCCAACCTCACCGGAGCTGAGGAGCTTTTTGGCAGGAAGTTCAACACCCTGTTTGCCCAGGGAAGTTACTCAGAGGCTGCGAAGGTTGCTGCTTCTGCACCCAAGGTATCTGTCAGTTATGTTGGTAAAGTTTCAGTAATGTCTAGACCTAGTGACTATAACATATAGTACAATAAAAAAATGTTTAAAAGATTCCATAGTGATTTATTTGTTTTTCTTTTATCCGTAATTCATCTATTTTGATGTCTCATCCTCAGGGTATCCTGCGAACGGCAGAAACCATCCGTAAGTTTCAGAGTGTCCCAGCCCAGCCGGGTCAAGCCTCCCCACTCTTGCAGTACTTTGGGATTCTTTTGGACCAGGGCCAGCTCAACAAGTTTGAGTCTCTGGAGCTGTGCAGGCCTGTCCTGCAACAGGGCCGCAAGCAGCTGCTGGAGAAATGGCTTAAGGAGGACAAAGTAGGTTGGGAGGACGGAACAAGCAAGACAGCTTTGTTAAATCAATTTAAGTCTGACATCTCAAACCAATGTTTAGTATCAAGATAGTTAATAAATCTGTGTGTTTTTGCAGCTGGAGTGCTCAGAGGAGCTGGGGGACTTGGTGAAAGCCACCGACCCAACACTCGCTCTGAGTGTTTATCTCAGAGCTAATGTCCCTAACAAAGTCATTCAGTGCTTTGCAGAAACCGGGCAGTTCCAGAAGATCGTGTTGTATGCAAAAAAGGTAAAGAGAGGGACCTCATTCACATTTTTTAATTCCCATAATCCTTTGTATATTTTAGAAAACCTCATATGTGGGTAATATGTTTTACATTTTGAAATATCACATCCTGTTCTTATTTTTGATGTTTTAAATGTGAATATACTTTGAAGGCTGCAGGCAAAATTAAGATTTTGTAGTTATAATGTATTTACTTTTTACTCCTCTTGTACTTTTGCAGGTGGGCTACACCCCAGACTGGGTGTTTCTGTTGAGGAATGTGATGCGGGTCAATCCAGACCAGGGGCTCCAGTTTGCCCAGATGTTAGTCCAGGATGAGGAACCACTGGCCAACATCAACCAGGTAACCCACACATCTGCACAACCTTACTCCTGCATCTGCCCTTTTTAAATTTTTTATAAAATACATCTGTGTGTTCACACGTTCACATGTACGGGGAAATACAAAGGGTCCAGTGTGAGAGCCTTCATCTCTGTTGTTCCAGATGTGCCAGCAATGTTAGGAATTCACTGAGTCAGTTACCCCCTCCCTTCTTTTAAAGCCACATCTGCTCCGCTCCGTTTCAAATAGTTGGATGAACAGTGGAGATTCAGCAGAAAATAAGAAAAGCAGAAACATCTGTCTGGTGTTTGATAATCTGCAACTTTTTAACTGTGTGCCAACTCCAATCATGTGTGACAGATGTTAGCACAATTGAAACTTGCAACTTCCTTAACTTGTTTTGATTTCTTTTAACTTATCTCTGTTGTGTTTTGCTCTTTGGTAGATTGTGGATGTTTTTATGGAGGGCAGCCTGATTCAGCAGTGCACCTCCTTCCTGTTGGATGCTTTAAAGAACAACCGTCCAGCTGAAGGTCACCTACAGACACGCCTGCTTGAGATGAACTTGATACACGCACCCCAGGTGAACTCTCTGACTTGCATTTCTCTCCTAATCACAAAAAGAACTTTGCAGTTGATAAATTTAATGCTATTTGCACACCGTTGTCAGCAGCCAACAATACTTTTTGCACCAAGGGTAGAAGAGCCAGCGTAGGTACATGTTTGAAGGATAGCTTATAGCAGAGCAGAGACACAGACTCGGCAGGGTAAACCTAACGGTTCAATTTCCAAAGCCAGAAAGGCTAGTTACTAAAAAGTTTATGGTGTGAAATCATCTATTTGAACAAAATCTGATCTGGTTTTATACACAGTCAACAACTCATGTGCCTGAACTTATTAAAACTGCTAAAAACACAAACTTAAAGGAATAGAAAGGAAAGCATTTAAATAAAGCAATGAGTGCTAAGTTTTGCAACAGTAAATATATGATAAACAAAACTTTTAAAGCTAAAAGAATCAGAAATTAGCTAAAACTCAATGTAATGACACACTAACTAAAAGTGAAAAGTAGCAAAATGCTAGCTAAAACCAAAAGTAGTAAAACCCTAGCTAAATTGTAAAAGCGGCAAAAGCAAATTTGCAAAATGCTAACCAAATTTGGCCAAAAAATTAGCTAAAAGTAGCGAAATGCAGCTAAAATTAGCAAAAGAATAGCTAAAAGCAGTAAAGGTAACAAAAAAAGACTAAAATAGAGCAATTATTCTGTGGCAGTTTTCAAAAAGAACAATGTTTTTGAAGGAATTGAAAACTTCTTGGTTCTATAGAACAATTTTTTACAAATTGGTTACAAAACCCAAAAGTCTTATTTTCATTCAACCTTTATTTATACAGGCTAGCCTCATTGAGCCACAGGGACTCATTTACAAGAGACCTGTTCCAGACAGAACATATAAAGTACAGACAACAATAAACTACAGTAAAAATGCAGTTAAAACAAGAGTAGTGTCCCAATCAATAAACCAGGGTGCTGTAAAACAGAGTGAAAGACTAAAAACAAGAACATATCTGCTTTGATTTTTCTATTGACGTTATCAGATGTTTGAAACCCCTTAAAGAAATGAAGGTGGACAACTTGAGTTCCTGTTGCAAGCACCCTTCTGAACGAGATGAATGTTTTGATAGGAGTGGCTAAAATGGCGCAAAGTTTGCAGAAGTAGCTAATGTACAGAAAAAATTAATAGTGTGAATGCTGAATTAACATTCACACAATAATTAGAGTTTGACACTAAACAACTTGAAGCTTCCATTTGACTCATTCTTCGTCCCTGCTCTCTGGCTTGGTGCAAACTGCTGACTGTTATCACCTGGATGCAGAAAAGACACTAAATATGATTTGTGTGTTCATGTGTGCATGCACATTCTTAGGTAGCAGATGCCATTCTGGGGAACCAGATGTTTACACACTATGACCGAGCCCACGTCGCTCAGCTGTGTGAGAAAGCAGGACTGCTGCAGAGAGCCCTTGAACACTACACCGACCTGTACGATATCAAACGAGCTGTGGTGCACACGCATCTGCTCAACCCTGAGGTAGGCCTTTAGAAGTGCAGTCATGCTTGTGAATGTGGCTCCTTTGGGAGAAAATGTTTTATTGTCACGATGATGTATGAAAATGGCTCTTGAACCCACAGCTTTTTTATCACCCCTCTGTTTTTCGTATTTTTCCTGCAGTGGCTGGTAAACTTTTTTGGCTCCTTGTCAGTCGAGGACTCTTTGGAGTGTTTAAGGGCCATGCTATCAGCTAACATCAGGCAGAACCTGCAGCTGTGTGTTCAGGTAGCATCAAAGTACCACGAGCAGCTGGGAACTCAGGCGTTAGTAGAGCTCTTTGAGTCGTTTAAAAGTTATGAAGGTAGGTTCAGATGAAATTACCACTCTTTCTCCCCATTTTTGATTGTTTTTGGTAACAAGGGGCACAGCTAACTGTTTTGTTTCCTTTTTAAACCCTCTACTGAAGGTTTATTTTACTTCCTCGGGTCGATTGTGAATTTCAGCCAGGAGCCCGACGTTCACTTTAAATACATCCAGGCTGCTTGTAAAACTGGTCAGATCAAAGAAGTGGAGAGAATCTGCAGAGAAAGCAACTGCTACGACCCAGAGAGGGTTAAAAATTTCCTCAAGGTAAAATAACTTTATTGGTGTTTATTGTCTAAAATCATTTCATACACACAATTATTCACAAATGGATTTCTTTCTACAGGAGGCCAAGCTGACGGACCAGCTTCCTCTTATCATTGTCTGCGATCGCTTTGACTTTGTGCACGACCTGGTGCTCTACCTTTACCGCAACAATCTGCAGAAATACATAGAAATCTACGTCCAGAAAGTAAAATCAAGCCTACCATCCAGATTCTTTATCCACAATGTTTTTCTAAGTGTCCGCCTTTATTGAGCCGTGTTTATTTTGAATTTGCTGCACCTGTTCCCAGGTGAACCCTAGTCGACTGCCTGTGGTGATCGGTGGTTTGTTGGACGTGGATTGTTCTGAGGATGTCATCAAGAACTTGATCATGGTGGTCAGAGGGCAGTTTTCTACTGATGAGCTGGTGGAGGAGGTGGAGAAAAGGAACAGGTAAGGTGATATTATATTTGGATCTGTCAATTCTCCTTGCAGAGCTGCATCCTTTACGTCTTGGTGTGTGTCTGTGCATCAAAGGAACCTGATATCTTCTGCATCCACTCAACAGAATCAAAACAAGCTTTATTGTTTAATTAGTTTGATGTTCTGCTGTGAAATTTCAAGTTTTACTTTTCTGTTAGTACTAGATTTGAGCAGAACCCTCCAACTAAATGTTTGAGCTGCACACATTTTCTTGTGGCAACAGCAAATCCCGTAGAGCCTCCACTTCAGTAAAAACTGGTTCTGGCATCTGACGATGCCTCCTGAGCGCCTTCTTCTGGAGGCTTTCCTACATTGTCTTATTGGGAGAGACCCTGGAGCAGATGGAGACGGATGTCTGGGTTTACCTCCTGGACCTGTTGCCTTTGCAACGCGATGGCCAGATGGATGCTCAAGAACATTAACACAAGAAAACACCCAAAGCATTACCTTCAAGCCCTTTTAATTCCAGTTCATGAATCATCTGTGGTGTGAACGTAGACAAATAAGATCCTACAAATACGTAGGATCAAGCGTCGGACACCACAGATGTCAGGTGTGCTGAAGTCACACAATATCCTGCAGGTCATTTTAAAGCGCTCTAACTTTAATAGGTCATTTTTAATCAAGCTCTCCAAACCATGGAGTTTCAAAATCTGAAAAGTAAACATAAAAAATTATTTTCTCGAGTGACTCTTTGCGAATTAATTACTGTTTCTGAAATGGATATAACTGTCTCATCTTCATAAATAACCAAATTCTGACACAAAGTTGTTAAAAACAAACAAATCCATGTAAATGCGATGGCTGCTCTGTTGTATAGTTTTACATTCATGCAGTTAATGTCTTCTAGTGTTGTTTCTCTTTAGTCTTAGAAAAAATGTTTCCTCACAATGTTTTTATTGATACTTCAGTGATGCAATAACTCATCATTTACATTTTTTCCAAAGATAGTCTAAACATGAATAATTGTTAAATGCCCAACAATACCATCTAGTGTTGCAGTGGATCATTGCACCACAGGAAACTAAAAAACATGGGCAGATAAGTTTTAAGCTTCTTTTTTTTTTGCTACTGGTAAATTAAACACCCTGTCACAATGAACAAACACTAGCTCATCAATTGAATTAAAAATCATTTGAGCAAAGGATAACACCTTTGATTAACTCAAATAAATTAGAATCCTAAATAAAATCACCAACAAAAAAATAAACCACCATTTTACAAAGTTTTGCTTTAGTTTGTGCGTTTGTTCTAGACCTTTTCTTGTGTGCGAGTGTTGATTCTGAAATGTGCTTTTTGCCTCGGAGACGCTTGAATAGATTATATCTAGTAAGAGATTGTTTTTTTTTTAATTTAAACCACATCAGGTTAAAACTTTTGTTGCCATGGCTGGAGTCGCGTGTCCATGAAGGATGTGAGGAGCCAGCTACACACAACGCCCTGGCGAAGATCTACATTGACAGCAACAACACACCGGAGCGCTTCCTGAAGGAGAACCCGTTCTATGACAGCGCCGTGGTCGGCCGGTACTGTGAGAAGAGGGACCCCCACCTGGCCTGTGTGGCTTATGAGAGAGGACAGTGTGACCTGGAGCTCATCAAAGTGTGTTTTTCTCTGTATTCCTCAAACGCTCGAATATCCGGACGTTTTTAACTTCTTGGTGTTTTTCTCAGGTGTGCAACGAGAACTCGTTATTTAAGAGTGAAGCTCGATATCTGGTGCGAAGAAAAGATCCCGAGCTTTGGGCAAAAGTTTTAGAAGACGACAATCCTTACAAAAGACAGCTCATCGACCAGGTTTGGATGCCTCCAGCTCTGCTTCTGAAGTGACCATAAATCAGAGCATTTGTCCACTTTGGTCCTCCGTGTCCCCTCAGGTGGTGCAGACAGCTCTGTCAGAGACCCAGGACCCAGAGGAGGTGTCGGTCACAGTCAAGGCCTTCATGACTGCAGATCTGCCCAATGAGCTGATTGAGCTGCTGGAGAAGATCGTACTTGATAACTCAGTCTTCAGCGAACATCGGTATTTAACCGCGGCTCCTTTATTACTATTATTTAATTACAGTGTTTGGCATCTGTTAAAGCAGCTTCTCTATTTTCTTCAGAAACCTCCAGAATCTGCTCATTTTGACGGCGATCAAAGCCGACCGCACCCGCGTGATGGAGTACATAAACAGGCTGGATAACTACGACGCTCCGGATATCGCAAACATCGCTATCAGCAACGAGCTCTTTGAAGAGGCGTTCGCCATCTTTAAGAAGTTTGATGTCAACACCTCGGCCATACAGGTAGAGCCGAAGAAGCAGCATTTTCTGCAGATAGACAGCATGTACGCTAAATGACTGCAGAGATGTGCTAAAGAAGCTGAAGCTGAGTTGTTAAATCTGAAAGGAGCTAAATGGTAGCCCAAAGGTAAAAGTAGCAAAGCATTTGCTAAAGGTAGCAAAATGACAGCTAGAAGCTAAAACGCAAACGCTTCGAAAATGTCTATTTGAGCTTTAGTCTTTTTTTTTTTTTGAGTAACTTGATGTAAAAAGTCAGAGCAGAGTAAGAATTTGTTGGATTAGTCTGTCTCTGATTTACAGTTTTTAAAGTTAATTAAGTTAATTATACATCCTGTCAGTCTTGAGATTTATTTAAATGTGAATAACTTGAACTAAGTCTGTACTTTGCTCCTGCAGGTGTTGATCGAGCACATTGGGAATCTGGATCGTGCCTATGAGTTTGCTGAGCGCTGTAACGAGCCCGCAGTGTGGAGTCAGCTAGCCAGAGCTCAGCTTCACAGAGACCTGGTCAAGGAGGCCATAGACTCCTACATTAAAGCTGTGGATCCATCAGCGTACATGGAGGTGGTCAACGCAGCCAGCAAAAACCGTAAGCGTTTGCCTTACAGCATATTTCTGCAGCACGGTTGTCTTTTTGTCTGAGGTGGTGTCCAAGGCTTTGTTTGTGTTTTGTAGAGAACTGGGAGGATTTGGTAAAGTTTCTGCAGATGGCTCGCAAGAAAGCCAGAGAATCGTACGTGGAGACGGAGCTGATTTTTGCTTTGGCTAAAACAAACCGACTGGCTGAGCTGGAAGAATTTGTCAGTGGGCCGAACAATGCTCACATACAGCAGGTAAAATAAAAAGCTTGGATTTACAAAATGAACATTAAGGTTTCCTTGAATTATGCTACTTGGGTTTTGCTACAAAAACACAATGGACTTCATGATAATCTAACCATTTTTCGATTTCAGGTGGGCGATAGATGCTATGAGGAGGGCATGTACGAAGCAGCCAAACTCTTGTACAACAATGTGTCCAACTTTGCGCGACTTGCGTCAACACTAGTGCATCTTGGAGAGTACCAGGCAGCTGTGGACAGCGCCAGGAAAGCCAACAGCACGCGGACGTGGAAGGAGGTAAACGGCAATACCACTGTTTAGCCAGCGCATAAAAAGAAAAAAAGGATCCTTTGGTTTTTTTAAAATGTCAGATTTTCTAATAGAATAAATCTAAAGAGGATAAAGATGTATCTTTATACCATTTTATCACTTTAAAGTGTAATGAAGTGTCAGACTTGAGTGAACAAGGGGAGCTGAATGACTGCTAAAAATTGCAGAAGTTGAAACTGAGTTGTTAAAGTTAAAATAAAGAGAACGCTAGCTTAAAGCTAAAAGAAATGGAACACTAGCTTAAAGCTAAAAGAAAGGGAACACTAGCTTAAAGCT